CTCCTCGATGACTCCCACAGCAGCGGATCAGGGAAGGGACCCTGACAGCTCGTCCCTCAGCCCCCAGCTGAGAGCCCTCCGGAAGGGGGCAGTGGGAGGAAGGGGTGGAGGGACCCTTAGGCACAGGTGTGGCTGGAGACAGGGGCCCACGATCAGGGAGCTCTCCTGGGGACCTCAGGGAGCATCACAGCTCCAGACCCCAAGGAGGGCGGCAGGCTCTGGGTCTGTATCCACCCATGGCACCCCAGCCAGTCATGGACGTAGAGGAGACTGTTTCAGGGAAGGACACAGAGGGTCAGAGAGGGTGAGCCAGGCTCACGGTCAGCACCTGATGGAGCTGAGGCCTGCACCAGGGCTGTGCTCCCTCCTCTGCACCTGCAGGCTCTCAGGGCTCCCCGGAGGACGGGCTCCATGCTGAGAACAGGGCCCTGAGCTAGTTCCTGTCCATCTCTCTGGAGGCTCATCTGGGACCAGGGACACTAGTCTTTTCCATCTCTGGCTTAAGGGGTAGTGCCAGCCTGGAGCAGACATGGCCTGGGGTGGGAAGACCCCTGCTCAGCCCTGGCCTTGCTGCTGGGTGACCTTGGGCCAGCCTGTTGCCTCTCTGGCCCCACTGCCCCTACCTATCAGGGAGGATGATGCCTGAAAAAGCTGTGGGAGGGGGAGGCTGGGAGGGGCTCTTCCTGCCAGTGTCCCAGTGTCCTAGGGGTTCTTGAGTTTCAGCGGCAGCTCCGCCCAGAGGCCTGAGGCTGGCCTGGTTGAGGAAGGGACGGCCAGCCATAGAGGGCCCGGCATTCTTACCATCTCACTTTCAGAGCCCAGGGACTCCTGGCGTCTCCGTCTGGAGACCCAGCTGAGGTCCGAGGCCTGGCTGCTCAGCGTGGAGCGGTGGGTGGAGCGGTAGCTGGCGTAAGGGCCGGTGCGCTGCCCCGACACACCCAGCAGCAGGCCCAGGCAGGGCAGATGCTGGGCTATGGCCATTCTGCAGGGAGGCACATCTGGTTAAAGCAGAGGGTACAGACAGACAGACAGACAGACACAAGGAGACAGGGGTGGGTGGACAGACTGATACAAGGCTAAGTGGAGTGGGAAGAGAACCCCTGGAGAATGGGGCTTCAGACACTGGGGTCCTGAGCACAGAAGACGAGGTCTTGGGAACGGACAGAAAGAAACTGGGAGTCATGAAAAGTGATGACAAAGGACAGACAGATGCTGAGGTGAAAGATACCGACAGACTCACAGGACTGGGGACAGACAGACGGATACTGGGGCCAAGGGCATGGAGGGAGAGCCTTAGGGTAGCAGGTTCAGCCAGGGGCTCAGTTCCAGCCCTCAAGTGGCTGGCTCCAGCCACATCTTTGCCAATGGGGACTCGGGGCTGAATAGGCTAAGGCAGGGGTGGGCAAACTTTTTGACTAGAGGGCCACAATGGGTTCTTAAACTGGACTGGAGGGCCGGAACAAAAGCATGGATGGAGTGTTTGTGTGAACTAATATAAATTCAAAGTAAACATCATTACATAAAAGGGTACGGTCTGGTTTTTTTTTGTTTTTTTTTTTTAGTTTTATTCATTTCAAACGGGCCGGATCTGGCCCCCGGGCCGTAGTTTGCCCACGGCTGGGCTAAGGCCTGCTGCTGGCCCAGCAGGTGGTGAGCTACTGACACCACCAGGCAAAGGGAAGCACTGACGGCCTTCCTGTGGGAGAGGCCAGTGCGCGGGGATCCCGTCAGCAGAGAGCACTCGGGGCCAGCACCATGCCCGCTGCCAGGGCCCTCGGAGCTGAGCTCTCCTGCTGGGGTCCCTCCAGGTGTCGCTGTCTGGGGGGATTTCCTTGCACGGGCAGCACTGCCAATCAGCCATCTGGCTGCCTTTTGGCCTCGGCTCCAAAACCCCCCATTAGGATGAGACGTTGCCAAGGGAGCCTCCTGGGAAGCAGGTCATACCCGCCCAGGTGCCCAGGCCCACCCACTGTCACTGGCTGGTCCCAGCTGCTGGAGCCCCTCCAATACATACACAGAGACAGGAAAGACACCCACTTCGCAGGCCCTCCATGCCCATGAGGGTGAGCCTGGGAGCCTGGGGCTGCACCTGTACTTGGGGTGGGTGATGGCGTAAATGATGGGGTTGTGGATGGCAGAGGCCTTGGCGATGATGGCTGGCACTGAGTTCATGTATGGCGTCAGGACATGAGCGTACCTAGGACAGAGAAGCTGGGGTCTCCCTGCCACGCTCCTCCCTGGAGACTC